GGGACGGGCCAGTTCCACCGGATACCACCACCGTTGTATCATCCGCATAGAGGGTCAAGCTCACGCCTTTCGCCTCCAATTTTGCGAAGTCATCTACAAGCGGCAGGGTGGATAGAAGGAACAAGAAGGGGCCCAGGGCACTGCCCTGAGGCACCCCTCGTTGAAGTTCCAGAGTGGCCACGTCTGCACCATAGACAGCCGAAACACTCTGGGCCCTTAAGTAGCCTTCTACAATGCTCACTAGATAGCGTGGGACATCGTATTGGGCCAGGGTTGCCAGGATGTGGCTGTGTTTTACCGAGCTAAACGCGTTTTGCACGTCGAGTTGGACAAGTGCAATAGGCGCGCTCTTACTCCTTTTTCTGCCAGCCCTGAACGCTTCGACTACGCGCAGGACCGCAGAGTCAACCGACTTGCCCTTGCAGAATCCATGGACAATCGGAGAGTCCAATCGCTTCTGGATCTGCGGGCAAGATGCAAGCCGTTCTACTATGAGACGTTCGAACAGCTTGCTACCTGAACCGACCAGGCAGATTGGCCTCCAGCCGTTAGGCTTGGTGGGGTCTCTGCCGGCCTTATGAATGAAGATCCCTTTGGACGACTTCCATCCATCGGGATATATACCAGTCTCAAGGGCTTCAGTGAACTGGGTACACCAGTTGTCCTTCAGCACCTCGAGAGTATCGAGAATGATGCCATTGGTCACATCATCCTTTCCAGGGGCCGCGCTTCTCCGTAAACCGTTGGCCGCCTCTCTGAGTTCAGAGTAGGTGACCGCCGGGATGGGATCAGTTTGCGGCGGTAGAACCAAGGCATTGACCTCCGCAGCCCTTTCGGGATCACGGGGGAAGAGCCTACGTAGGAGGAAGTCCGCTTGATTCACTCCATGCGGGCATATGGCCGCAGGTGGAATTCGGGGACAACCTCGTTTAACACAACGAGAGTAGTGCCGCAGATCATTAAAGAATCTACGAGCAGCTGCTCCCTTGGCCTCTTTGACAGCTGCACAGAACTTACGTCTGGCAACGTCGCGGATTTCCCGATAATGCGCCGTTGAAGGTGCATCCGGGCCGTTTAACCTTTTATGACGGTAGAACGTCCGCTGGGCCCTTTTAAGCTTCGCCTTCAGCCTAGACAGCTTGCCCGTCCACCAGGTGGTGTCAGAGGGGGCTGGGGCTTCCGGCGTAAATCGTTTTGCCAAGGTGCTCAAGGAATCCGTGATACCCTGTAAAGGAGTATCAGAGGGAATCCGAGAAGCACCATCCATAACCTTGGCTACATCTACGAGGCGATGGGCCAATCGCGGGGGCACAAGATTGCCACCCTGGCTGTCTACCTCTGTGTAGAGTAACCTGTGGTCTGACCCGCAAAGGTCGTCCACTAGCTCCCATCGGGGCGAGATGCCGTCTCTGGGAGTACCGTACAGTAGGGTGAGATCAATCCAGGAATGATACCGCTCGGATTCAAAGGTTGGTAAGGATTCATCATCATTCAGAATCCGAACGCCTTTCTCCAGGCACCAATTTACGAGTGACTCACCACGCTGCCAGGCCTGCCTATGCAGGTTGCTAGCAGTTAGCTCTGAGCCCCAAGCTATGTGCCAAGCATTAGCATCGACACAAATGTAGAGCGGGACGGACACAGGCCATGTGGAAAGGACCTGGTCAAGCTCAGAGAGCGCCGATTCCCTCCTTGGCATGTCAGTGCTGTGGAGGTACCATGACGCTATACCAAAGTTGCTTCCCTTGACCACAACAAGGTCTCGGGAAGCAAATACCGTGTGGCAGGAAATGCCACGTTTTGATAGTACACAAGCCTCTTCGTTCTTACGTATGCCGTGGTACTGATAACCCACAAGCTTACGAGAACCGGAGCAAGGCTCCTGGAGGCAGACCAGGTCTACGAAAGAACTACGCAGCCGGGGGTGGAGAAGATCCAGAGCCACCGGCCGATGCCCTTGGTTATGCTGTAGAATCCTCATCATTGAGATGAAGCAGCATTACCGAAGTCCGTGCGAGCCCATTGTCGTCTGGCAAAGGCAGCCAGACTCTCGCATGCGCCGTCCGTGCACTCGTGGTCCACCTTGCGGTGAACCCGAGCGTCCGGATTGGACGCGTTAAAGTCGAGACAGTTTGCGCACTTGCGCACTGCTCCTGGGCCCGATTGAGCCGGACAGGCTTGTCTTTCGTGACCGAAGGCTGCACAACGCGTGCAGCGTACCTTAGACCCATCCCGCCGGTGAGGACAGGAAGGGCCTATATGCCCTATCTTCGCACATCTAAAACACACAGATGGCATACGGGATGTCTGCCATCTGGTGCATAGATGATTTAATACCAGTCGGGTCTTTCCTTCTCCACCAGCCGCAAGACGGTGATAGAGAGTCGGAGAGACCGACAAGACCATATGCTGGCCTCTCCAGAACACGGAGGAGACCAGCTTAGAACCATCAATGTCCTTGGTTAAGATTGGATTACCTTCCTTAACCATGCAACCTAGTTGGTCAACAGTGACACCGCGGGCAACCGCAGGATTGAAGCAGACAATCCGCGGCCACAAGCCAGAGCGAATCTTGGCAGTGTAACCCTGCATGTTGTTCAAAGATTGAACACATGTGGTACCTTGACCCTCGTCGCAGAGGACTAGTCCCATGCCTCCCTTGATCGGGAAGTGGAACTGATGGTGATCGCGC